AGCTACTCAGAAGGCTGGGGAAGGAGGATCACTTGAGCCCAGGAGTTTGAGGCTACAGTGAGGTGTGATGATACAACTGCACTCCAGCCTGGGTAACAGAGAGAGACTCTCTCTCTATCAAAAAAAAAAAAAAACAGAAAAGAAAAAAACAATCACTGATTTGATCCTATCATACACACATGTGGGGAGAGGGAACAGGAAGAAGAGGAAACTAATATCCAGATCTGAGCATCGGCTCAAAATGAAATCGACATCATCTGCAACAATTGGCTTTGCCACAGGTTCTAATCTGTATGTATGAGCTCCCAGTTGGCTGGTGGATACACAGGCTTGGCCTTCAGAATTAGGCTCTGCCCCTCAACCAACCGGAACTTACGCAGGCTCGAGCTCATGGCAGAGCCAGCACCCAGCAGCAGGGGCACTGCTGTGACAGCTCAAGTGCCCCAGAAAACCTGATGTGGCTCTAGCAGTGCCGGGTGTGGTCAGGGTAATGGTGGGATTTGCGGGTACTGCAGGGAACAGGTTTTCTCCCTCATTCACCGACTCGTCGTTGATCACAGCTCAGCACGGGACAGGAAGCTGTGTCCGAGGCAAACCTTGCTATTTTACAGTCAGCAGAAACTGCGATGCTTTAGTCCCCTTTGCCCACATGCTTCACCTGCGTCTTCACGGCGCTGCTTCCCACGCACGCCCCGTCACACACGCGGAGGGTGGATCCGCCCGTCCACACCTACAGCAAGGGGCTCGGTGAGCTAGAGTGTGACGTGCTGCCAGAGACAAAGGGTAGATGCTGTACCGGAAGCCTTTCTCTTTAAGATACATTGATTTTTAAAATAAGATGAATAGCTATTTTGTTTTCATTTCTCAAAACTGTCCATTCTGACAAATAAAACTGCATCTTGTGAGAACAAATCATTGAACTAAGTCTAGCAAAAGATCCTTTGACAGAGCCGTTGAGAATTCAGATACAGATTTTTGTTTAAAGGTTATGGGAAATATTTTGGTT